CAATTATTTTTGGACGATTATTGTGTGATTTAGGTGAATATGATAAATCACAAAAATATTTTCAATATTTATTCAACAGTTCTCAAAATGAAGATCGCTCTTGGATTGAATTTAATATTGGTCGAGCTCTTGATTATAAAGGTGAATGGGATGAAGCTCGAGAATATTATGATCATGCATATGATCGAATGATGAAGAGTAAACCAGCACGAGTGAAAGATTCTGCTCGTGTTCTCAATAATATTGGTGTTATTCTTGATAATCAAGGAAAGTATGATGAAGCTCTTGATTATTATCAGCGAGCATTGAAAATTCGAGAGGAATTTTATCCATCGGATCATGTCGATATTGCTGCAAGTCTCAACAACATTGGTCTTATTCTCTCCGATCGAGGAAACTACAATGAAGCGTTCGACTATCATCAGCGAGCATTGAAAATTCGAAATAAATTTTATACACCTGATCATGTTGATATTGCTGCAAGTCTCTATAACATTGGTAATATTCTTTCTGATCAAGGAAAGTATGATGAAGCGCTCGATTATTATCAACACGCATTAAAAATTAGACAAAAATTTTATCCATCTGGTCATATTGATATTGCTCATAGCCTTAACAATATCGGTCTTATTCTCTTCGCTCAAGAAAAGAACGATGAAGCTCTCAACTATTATCAGCGAGCATTGAAAATGAGAGAGAAATTTTGTCCATCTGGTCATATCGATATTGCTCAAAGTCTCTACAGCATTGGAAATATTCTATCCGATGAAAAAAAGTATGATGAAGCTCTCGATTATTATCAACGAGCATTGGAAATTCAACAGAAATTTTATCCATCTGGTCATGTCGATATTGCGACAATTCTCAACAACATTGGTAAAATTCTCTATAATCAAGAAAAGTATGCCGAAGCTCTCGATCATCATCAACGAGCATTGGAAATTCAAGAGAAATTTCATTCATCTGGTCATGTCGATATTGCTTCCAGTTTGAATAATATTGGCCTTTGTTATGAAAATCAACATAAGCGAAAGCTGGCACTTGACTATTATCAGCGTGCATTGGCTATGTATGAGAAGTTTCTTCCTGCTGATCATCCACGTCGTCAAGGAATCGAGCAGAAAATTCGTCAACTTACTAGAAAAAATAAAAACTCACTAAAAATAACAATAAAGAATTAAATTTAAATAACAATGTAAAGATTTTGTTTTTTTCTTCAAATGTTTATTTTTTTATTCACAATATTGGATATTTTTAATATCATAGTTTTAAATTGCTGAGATACTCTAATTTTAATAAAAACTTTCAAAAAGAAAATCAAACTTTAATAAAGTTGAAAAAATAGATTGAAAAAGTTTTTTCTCTATGAATCCAAAGAAAGAATTGTTTCATTTTTAAGTTAATGATATAGAATGTTTTAAGTTATAATTTATGAAATAAAGAAATGCTTTTCATTTGTTGATGTTGAAAATTTTTGAGAAGAATTAGCATGAAATTTGTTTTTTTTAAAGATGAAATAAAATTAAAAGAATTCTTTGATAAAAACTGTGGAAATTTTCAATGAAATTCTGCGATTGATTATGTTTACCTCAACGTTTATTTCTTCTGACATTGAATTTAAATTCTTCAGAATAAGCAAACTGGTATTCATTGTTAAAAAGAAATTATGAGACAAACGTTTTCATGAACCGTTTAGCAATGGCAACATTTTGTAATGACAGCATGATATATGTGTTAGATTTTTATCATCGAAACGCTACTTTCAATCCTGACAATGAAAACTATTCGTAACTATCATCAAGCGACTTCATTATTTACTCTACAGAGTTTTCGTCACCTTCTTTCTAATCAAATCAAACTTTTTATGGGAAATTCGATACGTTCTTTAAATACAGCATTAGAAATTACTCTTGAGCACTGATTTTTAAACTGAAAAATGGAATTTTTTTTGATGAAAAATGAATAACAAGATATTTTAGTGAACTACTTTTTCAATGTAGATATCTTTCTTAATGAGACGACGAAACTTAGATCTCTTATCATGTTATAACAGTCTATTTTCAAGCTATTTTAGAACATATGATTAGCTCTGATAAAAACCATTAATCGTAATTTATTCTTTGCAATTTACGAAGTAATATAGATAAAAACTATATTTTTTTATAGTACCGAAATTCCCCTAGAAATTAGTCATATTCATTTCACTTAATTTGAAAGTTAAAATTCATTCTTCTACGTAACTAAAGTGTAAATCAACCAAAATAAATTCTTTTCTTAGTGAAATCTTTGAATTTTTATTTAAGGAAAAACTGTTTACCAATGTACTTTGAAGTTAATTCTATTAGTTTAAATAGAGTTCGTAGAATTTAAATTATTGACTAAATGTATTCATCATCATCCTCTAATAATATCTCAGCTATTTTCAGGATTAGAAGTCTTGGATTTGAGTAAGATCGAGTCAGCCTCGATCAATTGAATTGATTATAGAAGCTTTTGAAAAGTTCTCGATCATTATGAGATAAATTATATAGCCAAATGGATGCAAACAAAGTGGCAATATTGAAGTTTTTTTATCGTAAACTTTCCAATATTTTAAAATACACTTTGCTTCTTCTTTTTACAATTGGATAGAACAACACCAAAAAAAGTAAAATTAATTTCATTCAGAAAACAGTTTAATCGCTCTATTCCTTTTTTTGATAATAGTTTGTAGAAAATCATTTCAACGCTCTTATCTAATTATTCAAGTTTAACAGCTGCATGACTTATCTTTCATAGTCGTTCAGTTGATGTTTAATCTACCAAATAAATTCTGTTTCAATTTTAATGTCGATAGAATTTAAAATAGTTTCGATGATGGATAAGCACCGAACCAACGAGAACTTCTGAATTATGTAAAAGCATCTGATCACTCAATTGATCGTACATCTAAATTTCATATACGCAAAAAAAAACAAAAAAAAATTTTATTAATCATTGTATTACTTTTATGAATATTAGATGAAACATTAATAATTCAATTTGGTCGATATTTTTTCGATTTTTCTAATAAAAGATTTGTCAAAAGAAAATGACCAAGATAATTAGAACTATTTTTAGTTATAATAGGTGATGACAAAGTAAGATCAGCATTAGAAATCAAAACATCTAATTTTTGCTCTTCTTCATTATATAATCTGACAAAAATTGGAATCGAATCTAATGAACACAAATCACATTCCATCAATTGAATATTAACTTTATTAGATTAAGTTTCGATAAGAAGTTTCTTTATCGCCGGATGTTCTTTACTTAAATTTTGTCAAGCAATTATAACTCGAACATCTATAATTATCGATTTACTCATATTAAAACATATTGAGATGATTGAATTAAAAATCTCGTTGAAGAAGATCTTTTGCTAGCTAATACCAGTATTTCCACCTGTGATTAAAACAGTTTTTGCTTTGCATCGATGTCTTCTTCTTCGAATAGAAGCGACAATTGATCCATAATATTCACCTTTCGTAATGAGAAGTACTGCTTATAGATGTCATGGATAGCCGTAGAATTAATCTAAGTTTAATGAGAACAAGTATCAACATACAATGCAAGTGAAACTATACAAAATTAGCTCTAAAAGTAAGTGAATATCGATCTGACTTTTCATCGAACACAAAAAATAGGAAACCTTGGGAAGCACTAATGTCAAAACTGATGCAGTGATAGGTGCCGTAAATTATGACCTTGAACTTCGTGCTATTGTTTGTTTTCTTTACTGTCAAAGTCATCTGAAGGTGCTGTATCAAAGTATTGAAAGCGCTTACTAGAAATTGATTATAGCTTCTGAACAACACAAGCGATTTAGTTCAGTCTTGCAGTGTTCAATATATTCCTGCTTTGTGAGATAATCTTTTATTTACTATTGATTTCGAAGAAACTGAAATATTTCAAATATTTTCGTGGTTTGTTTGTTCCTCTCGATTTCATGACTTTTATACATTAGCAATAAGAGTAAAATAGTCAATATATTATGTAAATCCACATCTTTTGATTTTTCAGAAGAATCACTATCCACCAAATATTTATATATATAATGTTCAGTGTCTGAGTATATGTCTGCGCCTGGTCAAAGGTTATAAGTTAAAGGTCGAATAAGGCTATAAGGAGAAGTCCCCAAGGGCTACTATATGGGGTACCCATGGGTCCTCAAGAACTATCCTATGAGGGTGCTCATAGGTCCTCAAGGACCGTTCTATGGGGTACCCTCAGGCCTTGAAGGGAGTAAGGTAATAAGGTTACAAGAGCTATAAGGGATATAAGGCTATAAGAGCAAAGGTTACATGGACTATAAAAATATGTGCAATATATGAGTATGAGGCTGTAGGACTATCTATCTATAGACATAATATCGAGTGTGTGTATGTCTGCTACCAGATGAAAGATTAAAGGTTTGAGGTCATACGTTAAAGGAGAAAACAGCCGTGCAGTATGGACGGGCTCACGCTAGTCATGAAATAACGATTAATGAACCAGCACTGCTTTTTAATGAATTTTAACAGATATAAACTTTTTTCTGTGATGCAGATGAAACGCTCATGTCCATTTAAAACTTTGAAGAAACCTGATCACAAAGTTCAATGCGCAGTTCACAACAGTGCATGTTTCATTGTGTAAAATAAAATTTATTTTATTTGAAATTTCATATAAGAAAAAATGTGATTGATCAAAAGCCGAACTTGATTTATGACAACTATTTTGTGTGTTTTCTATTGACCAAACATCCACCACAAATTTCTGTGTGCATTAGTATTTCATCAGAATTCATCACGCACATTTTATTGTCAATAAACGATGAAAAAAAAGGAACATTTTCATTTTATTTTAATAAGTGCTGCGTTCGTCGATTTGATTGGATAATTCAGTCGGTGATAGAAAGAGAAAAAAATGTTGTGCAAGTTGGCAATCTAATAGAAAAAAAAACAGACTTTTCTTTCGACAAACTCTTTTGTTGTAATATCATGATGAAATTCGAAGAATTAGCCAATGAAATAATACTTGAATTATTTGAATTACTCGATACAGTAACTCTTATTCATGCTTTCTCTGGTCTTAACTTTCGTTTAAATCAATTAATTTTCAGTCGTATTCGAACCTATCATCTAGATTTGCGATCGATTTCGAAAAATGATTTCAATCTAATCTGTTATCAATATCTTCCAACTATTATTGATCGAATTACGTTACTACGCATATCACATGATGATGAAACACCATACATTTTATATGGAACTTATTTACATGTTTTTCATATTCGTCAATTCAATCATTTACAATCATTATCTCTTTATTCGATTGAAGAAGCTTCGACAATAGATCAAATAATTCTTGAATTACATCAACTTCCCTATCTTACACATTTAAACATAATTCAATGTAATTTAGAACGTAAATGTGATAGAAAAATTGTTGCTTTGAACGAAATTTGGAGTCTAAAGAAAGTGACACATTGTAATTTTGATCATTGTCATGGACTTTCCATACAGTTGGCTCAAATATCAGTAATATCACAAACTATTGAATATCTTTCAATAGATACTAGTGATCATTTCAGAAATTTAACTCAATTAATTCATTATACACCAAATCTTCAACGATTCAATTGGAATTTAATATATTCATCAAGTAATCAACCACCACTTATTACAATGTCATCGATAGTTTCATTGAAACTTCGTTATAATGGTACAAATGATTGGTTAAAAAATATTTTACAACATATGCCTAATTTATATGATTTAAAATTAGATCTTATTAATATTTATTTAAATGGATATGAATGGGAAAATCTATTTGTTTTAAATTTACCTAATATAAAAATTTTTCAATTTCGAATGCATCTTAAATTTTCTAAAATAAATCTTGAACAACAAATTAATGAAATACTTAATTCATTTCAAAGTTCATTTTGGCTTGAAGAACATCAATGGTTTGTTCGATGTGAATGGAATTCATCAAATTCAGGTATTATTTATACATTACCTTATGCATTTAATTATATGTTTTATTTGAATCAACATTCATCGAAATCTACGTGTCGAAATGAACAAGATTATTGGTCGTATAATAATATACGAAAATTTGAATATATCAATAGTAATAATATGTTTATTAATGATTTTGATAATTTTCCAATTCGTTTAACTAATCTTCATGAACTTGATATTGCTCTTCCTATAGGTAATTATTTTTGGTCAATTATTTCATCATGGAATCAATTGATTTCACTTAATATAAGTATTAATGGAAATGAAAATAATGTTTATTTTCAATTACAAAAATTTCTTGATCAAACACCACATCTTTATTCATTGAAATTTTCTAATTGGAATGATTTGAATATGATATTATTTCAAAAATTGAAAAGTAAATCAATTCGTCGACTTCATTTTACTGAATTACGTATAACTTGTCGTCAATATTTTGAACGTAATGAATGTTCTGCATTAATCAATTCAGCATTGGGAAAACAATGTGAAGTTTTAATTATTCCTATTGCTAATGAAATATTGGCTGTTGATATTGCTGAAAATATGATAAAACTTCGAAGTTTGATTATCAAATGTCAAGGTAACAGATCATCTAGATTTAAATTCTCATCAAGAAATGATCTATTTGTTCAATGGAAATAAATTCGTATATGGTTTTTCATTTTCTTCTATTGGTTATGTGACATGGATGTTTTCTTGTGTTTCTCTCCGTATAACGCCTTTTTATGAATTCTGAAGAAATATATAATAGACATACATATTTCTCCTAG